AACCAGCAGTGACAGCAACAGTGACTCTGCAACGTCTTCGGGTTCGCCCTGCAAAGAGGGAAACCAGCAGTGACTCTGCAACGTCTTTCGGGTTCGCCTGCAAAGAGGGAAACCAGCAGTGACTCTGCAACGTCTTCGGGTTCCCCTGCAAAGAGGGAAACCAGCAGTGACAGCAAGCAGTGACTCTGCAACGTCTTCGGGTTCCCCTGGAAAGAGGGAAACCAGCAGTGACTCTGCAACGTCTTCGGGTTCGCCTGCAAAGAGGGAAGACCAGCAGTGACAGCAGCAGTGACTCTGCAACATCTTCGAGTTCCCCTGCAAAGAGGGAAACCAGCAGTGACAGCAGCAGTGACTCTGCAACGTCTTCGGGTTCCCCTGCAAAGAAGAGGGAAACCAGCAGTGACAGCAGCAGTGACTCTGCAACGTCTTCGGGTTCCCCTGCAAAGAAGAGGGAAACCAGCAGTGACAGCAGCAGTGACTCTGCAACGTCTTCGGGTTCCCCTGCAAAGAAGAGGAAACCAGCAGTGACAGCAGCAGTGACTCTGCAACGTCTTCGGGTTCCCCTGCAAAGAGGGAAACCAGCAGTGACAGCAGCAGTGACTCTGCAACGTCTTCGGGTTCCCCTGCAAAGAAGAGGGAAACCAGCAGTGACAGCAGCAGTGACTCTGCAACGTCTTCGGGTTCCCCTGCAAAGAAGAGGAAACCAGCAGTGACAGCAGCAGTGACTCTGCAACGTCTTCGGGTTCCCCTGCAAAGAGGGAAACCAGCAGTGACAGCAGCAGTGACTCTGCAACGTCTTCGGGTTCCCCTGCAAAGAAGAGGGAAACCAGCAGTGACAGCAGCAGTGACTCTGCAACGTCTTCGGGTTCCCCTGCAAAGAAGAGGGAAACCAGCAGTGACAGCAGCAGTGACTCTGCAACGTCTTCGGGTTCCCCTGCAAAGAGGGAAACCAGCAGTGACAGCAGCAGTGACTCTGCAACGTCTTCGGGTTCCCCTGCAAAGAGGGAAACCAGCAGTGACAGCAGCAGTGACTCTGCAACGTCTTCGGGTTCCCCTGCAAAGAGAGGGAAACCAGCAGTGACAGCAGCAGTGACTCTGCAACGTCTTCGGGTTCGCCTGCAAAGAGGGAAACCAGCAGTGACAGCAGCAGTGACTCTGCAACGTCTTCGGGTTCCCCTGCAAAGAGGGAAACCAGCAGTGACAGCAGCAGTGACTCTGCAACGTCTTCGGGTTCCCCTGCAAAGAGGGAAACCAGCAGTGACAGCAGCAGTGACTCTGCAACGTCTTCGGGTTCCCCTGCAAAGAGGGAAACCAGCAGTGACAGCAGCAGTGACTCTGCAACGTCTTCGGGTTCCCCTGCAAAGAGGGAAACCAGCAGTGACTCTGCAACGTCTTCGGGTTCCCCTGCAAAGAAGAGGGAAACCAGCAGTGACAGCAGCAGTGACTCTGCAACGTCTTCGGGTTCCCCTGCAAGAAGAGGGAAACCAGCAGTGACAGCAGCAGTGACTCTGCAACGTCTTCGGGTTCCCCTGCAAAGAAGAGGGAAACCAGCAGTGACAGCAGCAGTGACTCTGCAACATCTTCGGCTTCCCCTGCAAAGAAGAGGAAAAGCAGCAGTGACAGCGACAGTGACTCTGCAACGTCTTCGGGTTCCCCTGCAAAGAGGGAAACCAGCAGTGACAGCGACACTGAAATGTCTTCGGTGTCCCCCTCAAAGAGGAAAAGCAGCAGTGACAGCGACAGTGACTCTGCAACGTCTTCGGCTTCCCCTGCAAAGAAGAGGAAAAGCAGCAGTGACAGCGACAGTGACTCTGCAACATCTTCGGCTTCCCCTGCAAAGACGAAGAGCAGCAGTGACAGCGACAGTGACTCTGCAGTGTTCCGTGGCCTTCGCGCTGGCCTGGCCCGCGAGGAGCTGGCCAGCCAGGCCTACTGCCCCGGGTCGTGCCGAATGATGGTGAACGACGAGTGGCGCGACAGGATTCAGCGACACCAGGCCGTGGCTGTCAGGAAGTGCTGCAGGTCGGTCAACGGCAAAATCTTCTGTCGAAATGGCATTGTGACTCTCCCCTGTGGCAGCGGGAAGACCATCGTGGGTGTGTGCCTCATGGCCGTGGCACAAGCCTGCACTATGATAGTGGTTCAGACCATGGAACAGCAGAGCCAGTGGGTGAAAACGCTCCTGCGCTGGACCTACCTGAAGGATAAGGACATATTCGCCTGGACAAGTGACTGCATCAGCGAGAGACAGAGTAAGGCGTCTGTCGTCGTGTTGACTTACGCAAGACTGGTGGCGATCTGCAATGCCAAAACTAACAACAATCAACGTGCCAATGGTCTTCTGTTCAAGAAATACGGCCTCCTCTTGCTCGACGAGGTCCACCATCTGCCGGCACCGGAAAACAGCAAGGCCCTATAACACCTCAGTTACCTGTGGAAAGTCGGGTTGACTGCCACTACCGTCAGAGAGGATGGCAGAGAAGACTAACTACAAAGACTTGTAGGACCAATCCTGTGTTAGTACCCTATACCCACACTCGTTGCTAGGGGGGTTATTGCACCAGTCATCTGTAAGTATATCATGGTAAAAATGCCACCAGGTTTCTTGCGTGCAATTATGAAGACCCAGTCTGTGTCTTTGGAAATGAAATTGTCAAGCATCAACCCCAATAAATTTTTAGCCTTGCGACACTTGTTTGACTATTTCGGAAAAGTCGATAAAAAAGTTTTGGTCTTTTTTGAAAGGATTTTTAGTATTTCATGTTTTGCATTAGCTCTAAATTGTGACTTCGTCGTTGGCTAAGTGTAGAGGAGTTTTGGTCCGTACCGGAGTAAAATCATTAATGAGTTCAGGAAAGCGCGCCAGGCCATGAACCTAATGGTAACCCGAATCGCCGACACAGGTCTCGACATCCCCGACCTGCCTGTCGCCGTGCAGATCGACGGCCTTGGGGCCTCTCGACAGCAAGAGGTACAACGTGTCGGTCGACTTCAAAGACAAAAGAAAGACGCAGTATATTACAACATATTTTCTGATGTTCCACGCGAGATCCATCAGACAAGGAGGAGATCATAATACATGCGTAGTATCGGGTATGAGGTTGAAGAGATACCATATGAATTCTGTGTTCCCAACTCATATGAGATCCAGGAGGCGCTCTATCAGTTCGCAATGCAACTGGAGTCGGACACAACAGATGGCGGCGAAGACAACGTGCACCAAGGCGCTAAATGGGAATTAATTAAGTGTTATGCAAACATTCTAAACAGCCTGGAGTACCAGATCTCCAACGTACAGCATAATAGAAAGCCAGAAGACCCATCCACGCCTACAGTGAACCATCACCCAGCAGTGAAGAAAGTTCAGTTCCCTTGTGAGGCTCAGCAGACATGGTC